CGAACCAGTAACGATGACCTTTCGTTCGTGTCGGGTGGTGGCACGGTGAGAATCAACCGGTAACCGAGTGTCCCATTAATCGACCGTTCCGTTATATCGCCGGACTTGTGGACTAACGGTGATCAAACGGGGACAGTCGGTGTCGTAGCCGGCTTCCTCGTCGAAGGGGAAGCCAGTGTCCATTGTGCCTAGCCAGTAAACCCCGACCAGCGCCATCGTCGCCAGCCAGCATCGACATGGAGGATACGGAAGCGGAATAATGTCATTGAGATGCCGTGAAGGAGTCCCGAGACATGAAGAGAGCGCGACCGAAGGTAAGTGGATTCCGCCTTCCGGCTCTATCGTCTCCGAACTCCTAAGTGGATCCTCGCCCCGAGGGACTCTGTCATCGCTACCGAACTTACCTTCCTCCTAATTATGTTCCCGTGTTTTGTCCTTCGATTTCCTAACATCGGAACTTTTACTCCTCGCAACACCCAGCAAGAACCTTGCAAGGATCACAGTTAGCGAACGTGACGACGGCTCTATTTTTATCAGCAGGTTTCTCGCACCGTCGAGCTTCAAAGGTTCTTAAGGATTCAGGTCGATCGCAGGTTTATTAATCGTTCTAGGAGTCGATGCACCCCGTGGTTTTCTTACCGTCTGTACCTTGCCTTCCGCCAGTTACCACGGAGTATTTTCGTTCATTGATTTATCGGATTCACCGGTTTTCTCGCTTTCTCGCTCGATCGCCGCCTGCACGCCCCTGCCCTCCACGGTTGTTGGTTCGATTTCGCTCGCCATGCCGCCTCGACAGGTTACCTCCTCGCTTCTCCCGCGTCAGCCCCGTTTTTTTCCTTCAGATCGAAAGAAGGAATCGAGATGGCAATGTCGTTGGGGCGTACCGAGCGCTTACCGGCGTTTCGTGCACGCAGACTATCGATTCTCGCGACAAGGGGTCGACTGCTACTGCCGCCGCTCAGCTTCGCTCGTAAACCAGCCCGTAAGCGAGCGGAATACGCTCGCGACGACACGCGACTTGTCTTTGCATACGCGCCTTCGTGTCGTGCTGGTCAACAACCTTCGAGAACGATGTCAACCCACCCCACCGGTTAGCGAACCGCGAGGATGACTTGTTGGCCGCCGGAAGAAACCGATGGCTGATTGGTTACATGGCCGTTGAGACCACCTTTCGCCGATACGATCTGTCAAACGTGCGTTCTCGTCGGTCGAATGATCCTCGACACGATTACGGGTTGTTCAGACGAATAAAGAGACGATGTGGATCACGAGCTAATTTGTGTAATTTGGGAAAGTTCGGGATGCGGTAATTGGAGGATTTGGAGTCATTGGTATGAGGAATGCAGGTGGTTAGGGATCTTCGGATTTGGGGATTTATGGATTTGGTGATACACAAATTTCGGATCTAGGAGTTTGATGGTGGTAGGACTTAGGATCGTCGAAATTTGGATGTAGAGGTATTTTGGGATCTTACGATTTGATGATTGATGGATTTGGTGGAATACAAATTTTTCATCTAGGAGTTGAAGGATCGAGGGATTAGGGATGGGTGGAATTTTGAGGTATAGGTACGTAGGCGTGTTGTGATTCAGAGATTCATGGATTTGGCGATGTACGAATTTTGAATTTAGGAATTTGAAGATGAAGGGATTTGGGGCACTTAGAATTTGGACATAGAGGTATTTGGAGGTCTTGAGATTTGGAGATTTATAGATTTGGACCTAGGAATTTGAAGATGGAGGGAGTTGGGACACTTGGTACTTTGATCTACAGGTATTTGGAGATCTTGAGATTTGGAGATACATGGATTTAGTGAAATACAAATTGTAGACCTAAAAATTTGAGGATTGAGGGATTTGGGCACTTGGCATTTAGACATGAAGGTATTTAGAGATCTTGAGATTGAGATTTGGAGATATGGCTTTAGTGAAATACAAATTATAGACCTAAAAATTTGAACATTAAGGAATTTAGGACACTTGGAACTTTGATATACAAGTACTTAAGAATCCTTAAACTTGAGGATTTATGAATGTGATGATGTTTAAATTTTGAACCTAGAAATTTGAAAATAGATAATTTTCAAGATGAGGTCACTCAAAAATGTGAAATCTGAAACTACTCATTTTAACTGATTAGTAACTTCAATAACTTCAGATTATTTGTGGACTCGGAACTTAGGGTTTCTACATTTGGACGTCTATAAACTTGAACATTCAATAATGTAAAGATTTGAAAACTCAAAAAATAGTGCACTTAACGTGAAAACTTGAAGACTTCACAAACTTATTATTCAAATTTAAGAGCTTAAGAATTTGTAAATTTGAAAGTTTGGAAGCTTGAAAACATGAAAATTAGATAATTATCTGTCCTTATTCAAAGGAAAGCTTGCACTCGGGCGCGCGTAGTTGCAGCTCCTGGTGGAGCGATGAAATTCCTGTAGGACACTGTTACGGAATGTGAAATTTCGGGAATTCAGTGCTTGGAGTTATTAAGTGTTAAGGATATGCAAAAGTTTATGCCCTTTTTAACCTTTGTAAGGATACATTGTTCCTTAGAATTATGAGGGAAAATAAAGCAAGTATTATTATTATTATAACTTTTATAATAAAATTTCATTTTCTATTGTAATTAATAAATAGTTGTTTAAAGTTGTTCTTTTGAATTGCTTCTTCAGTAAACAATTGATGAATAGAAATATTTGAAACTAAAGTTAAAGATAAAGTTTGATTAAACATGAAATTACATATGAAGTATACAATTTGTTTATGTTTAATAAGATACAATAATACAATAATAAAATAATGCATAATACAATAATACAATAGTAAATCATTGATTTCTATGTAATCGTAATCTTAATAATAATGACATTTTATAAAATAGTAATCTTCTAAATATAACTGAATGAACTCATAAAAATGACTGTATGAATGAATTATGATAATAATATTAAAATTATTATAATTACAATTATTATTAGTTTGCAAGTATTACTGACAAAATAATAATGATAATAACACTATAATAACTTTAATTAATTGTATACACAGAATATTAATGATATAAATAATGTTCAAAATATGTTTACCAAAATCCCTCATAACTGTATTTACACGAAAACTTCCTCATATCTAATAATTCCCCAACATGCAATTTAATATTCAAAACTCTGAACACTCCACAAACATCAAACTCGTTCATATATTTTTCGAAGCTTCTATTTGTTGAAAACTAATTAACATAAGCCTTTGATCGTTAATAATTTGGTTATAATTCAATAGAAATGATTGAATTTAGGTGTGATTCAATTAACAGAGATTTGATAATATTGATCAGTAATGGCAACTTCAGCTATCAAGCGAATAGATGAGGTGTTAAATGTCATAGTGAAAATGATCGTACATAATGTGATAGATTAACTATTGTACAAAATGGGAACATGTGGATGTTATATTATGACGTATATATGTATACATTTTGAAATTATATTTCCGGGTATTAAGTATGTGGAGAACTACTACACTGGAGTCACACTGGACTATATCAGGAAAGGGTTCACTAGGCCCCTTCATCTTTTGAAATTCCTATGCAAGTTAGATATGTGCATTTTTATATGTAAATTTCTGTGTTTCATAAAAAATTTGTAGATAGTCAGATATGTATATATTTTTAGATTTCTATTATTCTAGATATATGTGGATGTAGATACTTTCGTTTCTAAATTCTTGTATTTCTAGGTTCACATAAACTTCACTTGAGATCTCTATACTTCTACATCATTATATAGATATACATTACTATACATCACTATGTAGACCTAGATCTACAATACGTTAGACTTCTAAATCTCTATATATATCCAAACATCCATAAAGTCTCCTACCCCTAAATTTGTAGAAATGTGGATCTTTATACCTCAAGGTCAATGTGTAGCTAGATGTATGTAGGAATAGAAATTTCACTAGATTCTGGAACTTCTAGATTTCTAGATTCCTATATCTCTACATTTCTAAATTCCTGTAACCCTAGATCCCCACATCCCTAAACTCTTATAGCCTTAAATATCTACGTCCCTAAACTATTATACCCCTAGATTCCTACATTTTCAAACTCTTATACACCTTGATATCTACATCCCTAAACTCTTATAATCCTAGACTCCTACATTCTTAAACTTTTACAACCCTAGATCCTTACATTCCCAAACTCTTATACCCCTAGATCCCTACACATCTAGATCCCTATACACCAAATTCCACGCAAACCTAGATTTCTTTTCCCCCGGATCTCAAAACCCCTAGATCCACATGCTCCTATATCTCTACGTCCCTCCTATGTCTTATAAGTGGAACTCTATACCCCTACTTTTCTATAAATCCATATTTCTATACCCCATAATTGCTATAAATCTAAAACTCTATACAACTAACTAGCTGTGTCCCTAGATCTCTATGTGCACAGATCTCCACATCCCCAAATCTCAATGTTTCCAAATTCCAACGTCCCCAAATTCCATCGTCCCCAAATCCCAACGTCCCCAAATCCCTATATTTCCAAATTCCAACGTCCCCAAATCCCAACGTCCCCAAATCCCAACGTCCCTAAATCCCAACGTCCCCAAAATCCAACGTCCCCAAATTCCAACGTCCCCAAATTCCAACGTCCCCAAATTCCAACGTCCCCAAATCCCTATATTTCCAAATCCCAACGTCTCCAAATCCCTATATTTCCAAATCCCAACGTCCCCAAATTCCAACGTCCCTAAATCCCTATATCTCCAAATCCCTACCTTAGATCTCTTGATCTCCATACCTCTCGATCTCCACATCTCCATAACCCCAAACCATCAACTCCCTACATTCAAACTTAATTTCCTTCATTCAAATCACTCAATTATTTCACTCTATTAAACTTGCAGTCCCCATTTATCTAAACCCCATAACATACCTGTTAACCACCACATTATTAATATTAAATTTCCCTAATAAATTCTAACACATCGCAATACCTTAACGACTTATTTACGAAAGTTAAATTCGTAATCCATAATCATGGACTGACTGACATCGACAACTCCAATATTTCACGTTGCCTTTTTCATTATATCCATTGCTCAGAAGTGTACGGAGTATTCTTCTTTCTTCTCAACTTGATCCGAGTAAAGCCTCTGTCAGACCATAAATAAAAATGTCCCTCGGGTAGATACATACGACAGATATAATTAAGCCGCGCCATTTTTTTTTACTCGGACGTACCGCGCTCGTTTTAAATATAATCGAATGAACCGAGAATTGTATGAATTATTTATACC